GTTGAATTTGGGAGTGGGTTCCTGTTCTTGGGATGATCCCGGTGTTGGAGCGTTGGTTAATGAGTTGAGGTGAGGGGTACGATGATTTTATGGTTCAGTCTATGAGCCAGGGATGTTATCGAGCAGTTGAGTTGTTTGGTACTAAATTGGTACGAGATTTGGAACGACTAGAGGCAGACGTGACGAGAAGTTCTTGAGGAGTTCATCAGAGGTTCAGAGTATATGAGGTCGATTCATTTCCTTAAAGGGGGATTATCGGGCGTTGTGTAGCACTTTCCAGGGGCAGGTGCGATTTTGCTGGAGAATATAGTTGTGGGTTAGTTGCATGCTATTTGGTGATGGTTCGATCCCTAAGTGGGGGAGAACCGGGTGCCGTATGTAAGAAAGCAGAGATTTGTCAAGAGCAGTTATAAGTGGAGTATAGAGATATGAGGTAAGAAATCATGAGACCAGAGATGTCGGTGATCGAGGAAAGGGGTCAGAGTGAGTTAATACGGGAAGTACTTGTTTGAGAAGGATGAATGTCTCCACGACAGGTGTTTATTAGTCAGGAATTTGGTATTGGTCAGTGTTGGGGCAAGTAGATAAAGAATGATTGGGCAGCCAACTCCCGGGTCGGTATGCGTATCCTTGTTTGGATTTTGAGCGGCGGGAAAAAGGGTTTCGGAGAATTATCAGCGTATTTCATAGCGTTAGTGTTTCTTCGTATTGCAATTGAGAAATTGAATACACCGAAGTTGCAACTTGGGAAAAATGAAGATCTAGTTATGGGGTTCAGAGGGAATGTATTATTGCATCTATATGGTACTTGGAGCAGGAGATCTGTGGTTGTGGCAGGATCTTGTGATGTTCGGTGGGGGTGTTCCGAGGTATCCGGGTATTGATATCTTTATTTCAAAGTTATTCGTGAATCTTGAGTTGAGACGACTTGTGGTATATCAGGTATCTATGGATCTAGTGAGAGCCTTCGAGTATGGGCATCCAGGGGAAGCCCATTTATTATTGGGCCTTGGTGGGCCTAATGGGTTTAGGGTAGTGATGGGCTGGTCGGTGGTCAATCTTTAGACCTAATAAGTGAGAAGTTAGATTTAGCTCCTAATTTAGATAATTGTGGGTTTGGTACAGAGTTAGAGGCCGGTGCGTGGCAGCAGCGTTTATAGGAGCTGTTCTTTACTTGAGGTGAGTCTTCTCACTATACATTACCTAGAGTGGTATTTATGTGTAGACCGGAGGGTCTTGTGTGCTATGTGTATGTATGAGATTATGTGCAATGTGATATATGTATGCTATAAGATTGTATAGATTGGACCGGAGGGTCCAACGATATAGACCGAACCGGAGGGTCCAACGATATAGACCAGACCGAAGGGTCCAATGATATAGACCGGACCGAAGGGTCCAATGATCTAGACCGGACTAAAGGGTCCAACGAGCTATGACCGGACCAGAGAGTCCAACAAGCTACAAGGCTGGAGGGTCCCGCTGAGACACATTGTAACATCCCGAAATATCAAGAGTAGAGTTGAAGGGCTGAAAGAGTAAATTGGGAAAGAGTGACTCGGCGAGTCCATGTGCGGACTCGGCGAGTAGAGTCGCGACTTGATTGCGTGTTAAGTGGCCGACTCGGCGAGTCAGTGTAATGGACTCGGCGAGTAGGCGCTGAGTGGAGAAAACCCTAATTCTCGGGGTTGAGCCTTATATAAAGATCACTATGTTTTCCTCCCAGCCTCTTTATCACCCCTTGAGCCCCAGAAAACCCTAAATCACGGAGAAGCACCATTGTTGAGTGGATTGGAGCTTGGAGAAGTAATGGTTGAAGAAATTTTGGGAAGATTGAAGGCTTGGAGCAAGGGGCTTTGCTTGGATTCGAATTTCATTGCAGTTGGGGCATCACTTAGAGGTAATATCTCGTTATTGACCTGTTGTTATGTTGTTTCTTCATTTTGGGGTTTGTGAGAAATTGTCTATGGATGAAATGGGAAGTCTAGAGGTTAGATCTGAGGTTGCTACCTCAGATCTGGAAGGGAGAAGAATCAGAGAGCATGAAAGTCCCTGTGTTGGAGTGTTTAGTGAAGCTTACATGTCCCAAACCCTAGCCCCAATGTGCAAACGGCTTAGATCTCTTTGGATTCACGTAAAGTTTGCCACTTTACGTGATGGATGAGTGGTAGGAGACTAGATCTATGTTTTGGATCAATTGCATGGCCTGAGACGCTTCTGTATGGATTCAGACCGGTGGTACTCGACGAGTCACATGGGGCGACTCGACGAGTTGCTTGAAGATGGCCTGGAACTCGACGAGTTGGAAGAACAACTTGGCGAGTAGGTTGAAGATAGCCTTAGACTCGACGAGTCCATTTGGACTCGGCGAGTCTTGTCGAAGAGTCCCAAATATTCTCTGGTTGAGTCGAGAATCGGTGAGTCGTGTGCGAGTGGACTCAGAGTTGTTGGACTCGGCGAGTCTCGGGGTGACTCGGCGAGTTAGGTCGCAGATTGAGTGAAGTTCTGATTATGGGAACTCGACGAGTCACAGGGTTGACTCGGCGAGTAGGGTCAGTCAGGGGTTGACTTAGACTGAGGACTTTGATTTCGACCAAGGGTTGGCCGTTGACTTTTAGGGTTTGGTCAGCGATGTGGCCTTTGGGCCAAGAGAAAGGTAAAATAGTCTTTTACCCATAAGAGGGTGTTATGAGAGGATTTATTCTAGTCTTGAGAGTTATATTCATGAGAGTATTTGCCTTACGTGTTAGGCGGTGGCGAGTTCGAGATTCAAGTGTGGGGATATCTGCTTTCTGCTTGCCAGGTGAGTCTTCTCACTATACTTTACCTTGAGTAGGTAACCAGAGTTATGTGATCAGAGTATTTGTATGCTATATGTACGTGATGTGTTGTACTGCATTATTTCTATGTGATTTATGTTGTGCATGTTTATAGAGTTGGAACCGGAAGGTTCCCAGAGTTAGAACCTGAGGGTTCACAGAGTTTGGGTGCACGGACCCATAGAGTTATAGCCTCGAGTGGCTAATATGTGTTATGTGTGGTATTTTGGGGAACTCACTAAGCTTCGTGCTTACAGTGTTTTGTGTGATGTTTTTCAGGTTTCTTTCAGTATCACGGGACGGCACCGGCTTGATTGTACACACCGGAGAAAGAGTCATATTTTGGAGGATCCTGGTTTTCTATGCAAGTGAAAATGGAGTCATGTTTTGTAAATCGACTATGAATGAGATTTTAAACAAGTGTTTCTAAGAATAAAATGATTATTTTAAATGAAAAATTTGTCTTGAAATTTACGGTGTTACACACATCGACCGGAGGGTCGTACTATAGCCTCGAGTGACGTATGTGTTGTATGTGGTATTTTGGGGAACTCACTAAGCATTTATGCTTACAGTTGTTGTGTTATGTGTTTCAGGTTCTAGTGATGATCGCGGGATGGCGCCGGCATGATCCGTACACACTTGGGGAGTTTATGTTTGAGATCTTGGGGAAATGTTTTGTGATGATAACATTTGATACATTATGTTTTGACATTATTTTATGAGTAAATGTATGTTTTCAAAATGAAAAATTGTTTTGAAAATTTACGTTGTTACAGTGGGGGTGTCAACCCCGTATTGATCTATGATCAATTATCTCGTTCTCCCTCCATGAGACTCTAGTTATAACTATAGGACTTACGGTGTACGCTAGGTAGGTATGGTGAATGAGTGTCTCACAAGAGTCTTAACATAATTTACGCGAATTTATCGAATAATGCATAAGACGTTCTTAGTGTAAATTTATGACTGCAATTTTTATGACACGTGTTTCCCAGCTTTATGACATACAGCTTAACACTTGCATTAGTAGCTTTATGATTGACAGGTTATGACACGGAGACATTTCTGTCATAAAATTCTGTTTTTGCACACCGGTTTGATTAAATTATTTATAACGATAATTATAAATAACTACTAATGGCTTGTCAATTTACAATATGTATTGTAAAAGTAACAAAATACTCTAGGTTTTAAGACCTTTGAAATAGTACGACCTCTGTTTTAAGACCTTTGAAATAGTACAACCTTTTACGATTATTTTACTAATGAAAAACTATATTTTAGTAAAATATTCACATTTTATGGTGGTTTTTAATACAAAACAATATATATTTTTGGTTGCGTCTAGAATATGTTACAATCTCCATATGATCACATAAAGTCCTTGAAATTCGTAGTATTTCAATGTTCTCACAAGTCATAGAATTATATATATATATATATATATATATATATATATATATATATATATATATATATATATCACTACTAGAAAACATCCCTTTAATGACGCGCAAACAATGACACGTGCTGATAGAGGACACGCATTGTTGCGCGCCCAAAAAAATAATATCAGTTTTGCAAAATTTGAAGGATAGAAGACACGCTTTTTTGCGTGCCCTAAAATTAATGTCCAAAGAAAAAAAAAATACAAACACGGAAGGCGCTTATCTTAACTGTGTGTCATCTACAAGTGTCACTTTATAATTTTTTATTGGAACACGCGTTTGTAAAGGGGGGAAATGAAATCCTCTCTAATTCTAAAATTTTGAACTACCCGCTTCTGCATTCTATTCTCTGTATCTCCCTTCTTTCTCTTTGTAAACCCTAAGCCATCGCCACCACCATTGAACCCTAAAAACTCAATCCATACTTCACGCCTTCTGTGATTCTCTCCTCTTCGACTCTCTAATCAACGACTTCAGTCTGAAAACATCTATCGACCTCCCTGCTTCGATTAGAACCCAAAAAATTAGAAAACGCCACATTGTCGAGCGTGTTGGCGACGGTGCTCTGGTGTACCTTGTCACCGTTTTATATTTTTTCTGACCGTTTAATTTTAGCAAACCCACCGGAACCCTACGTCTTTCCTTTTATGCTTTCACATCTTTCCTTCCGTAATCACATGTATTTAATTCACTATTTGGGCATTTTGGTAAGAGCGTAACGATTTTCACTATGCCCATGGCAAGTCTCGCAAATTCCGCCATGGAAGCAGCCTCTCGCTGGTTAGCTTCTAACGATTGCAGTACAAGATTCACCGCCGGTCGTCATTCCTTTCCGAGCATTGTTAGGGTTAAGCGACGGAACAATGTAACTCATGCTGCCGGAACTGAACCGAAGCCCAAGGCAGCCAATCCTTTAACGTACAGAATCGTCGATGAATCTTCAATCAACACACTTCCACCGTACATTAATATTTTCTCTTGCTTTCAATTTTTACATGTAAGTTATTAGTTATCTGTTCTATCTGTGAAGAAATATTCATGTTTCAAATTTGAATTGTTATTGTCTGCAGAGAATGGAGACCGTTTCACAAGAGATTAAAAGAGTTAGGGCTCAGATAGAAGAGAATGAGCAATTGGCGATCTGAGCACTCTTCCCTATCTTTACATAAATACATTCTTTATTACATTCTCTCACATGATTTCCTTCTTCAAACCCAAAACTTTCAGCTAATCGATCTACTTTTCTCATTCCTGGAGCCAACCCGTTCCCATAGTGCTTTGTTGGCTGGTTACTTTAGCAAGGTATGTTCTTTAAAGTTAGGTGCTTTTTTCATTAAATATATGTATTATCATTTACTAGGTGTGAGATCCATGTATTACATGAGTTTATTTAAAAAAAATATATATAAAATTTTAACAATTTGAAAAGTTTGAATTTATAAGAAAAATGAGATTTTTTTTTTAAATTATTAAAATTAATGAGACTTTAATGTATTGGATACATTACATATATAAACCATTTTCTAATAAATACCTTACATATATATTACCTTATATATTAAATGTGAAATATTAATTTAATAAAATGAAAAATACAATAAAATTACAAGTGGAAAATAGAAAATTTAAAATGTTTAGAAAATATCATGTGTCCAAATGAAAAAGAAGAGGACATGTAACAAATAAAATCTTTATTTATTAGAGTAGATTGTAAGATCAACTGGAGAAAGGGCATTTTGGGTAACTATTATATATGCTCTGTTGTGTTATAGGTTGTGATATGCCTCATGCAGCGGAAGACAGTTCCAGAGGTTGTCTAAAACTCAAGATGTTGATTTCTTTTTCTTTTCTTGAGCTTGTCTAAAACTGCCATATTTATATTTTACCTTTTTTCGATATGCTTTGGGGCTCATCGAGTGTTACCCGGGTCGGTGGTAGCCAACATAGTCAGATGAATCTGTGATGTAGATGAAAGGAACATCAACAAATAAAGGTGCACCAGCATCAATGCGGAGTGAAAGGTAACCACATCAGGAACAAAAGCTCTCAATGCAATGAATATAGGTAACATGTTTTTTCCTTATAGCTTCTCTTCCAGCCATAATCATCGGCAAATTTAACCCCCTTAGATGCCGCTTTCTATGTCAAAATTAATACAAATGAGAGTAATTATATGATTATAATCATAATCGACTATAATAAAGTTGGGATAGTGTTTAAGCTTTGTTGTTTGAAATTGAATAACTAGATAACGATTGATGAATCTAGGATACAGAAATTTGGTTAATATCAACTATCTTAGTTCTTAACAGATGGAATTAGTATTGGAAAGATGAAATTTTATTGAGTTGAGGTCTAATTTCTCTCTTTGGAGGTAGATCCATTATGAACCATCTACATGGTTTTTCACTACAGTTTAGTGATGAGTTTAATAGGGATGAGCAAAAGGATCGAACCGGCCCCGACCCGGGAACCGGCTTCGGCCAAAATCAAGAACCGAACCGGCCCGACGGTTCTACCAGTTCCGGTCTCGGGTCCGGTAATTTGTCGGTTTTTCGATTTTGGAACCGACTACCTCCTATTTTTGCCAAACACATTTAGAGATGATTTTTCTATGATTGTGATTACTTTTATGATCTAATAATAAATAAATGATCAACTTACCTTGTTTCTACGTGGGTGCAATTCTAAATTATATAATTATAATCTAGTAATCTACCCCCAAAACAACCTTATATTAAGTTATAGTTTGTTGGATTGTATTTGTAGTTGTAGACTTTAGGCAACAAGACCTCAAAAGCCACTCAACATATAGAGAGACTTAATCAAATGTGACATGAAAATTGTTTTTTTCTTCTTTTTTACGACGAGATACATGACTGTTTGATATATATATATATATATATATATATATATATATATATATATATATATATATATATATATATATATATATATATATATATATATATAGGTTCAGGTTTATTTGAGATCATTCTAATTTTGTGAGACCGTGAGACCACATCTAAAAATAATTTTAAAATGCAAAATAAATGGAAAAATCCAAAAATTCTTTTTTGAAATATTATTTTCGGAACATGAATTAAATAAAAAAAAATATAAAAAAATATAAAAAAAAAAAGAAAATAAATTCTGTTTTTTTTTTTTTTGAAAAATACGTGAAATATTCTAAATAGAATATTACACTGACATATTCTAAAAAATAATTTTAAAATGCAAAATAAATGGAAAAATCCAAAAATTCTTTTTTTAAATATTATTTTCCGAACTTGAATTAACTAAAAAAAATATAAAAAAAATTCTATTTTTTTTGAAAAATACGTGAAATATTCTAAATAGAATATTACACTGTACATATTCTAAAAATAATTTTAAAATGCAAAATAAATGGAAAAATCAAAAAATTCTTTTTTTAAATATTATTTTCGGAACATGAATTAACTAAAAAAAAAAATAAATAAATAAACAAAAAAAATAAAAAAATGCGTCTCACGGTCTCACAAAATATAGGTGGTCTCAAATGAACATAACCCTATATATATATATATATATATATATATATATATATATATATATATATATATATATATATATATATATATAAAATACTTTTTGTTTATCAAAAATACGTGACAATTTGAATAGCATAGTTTTTTATAGTAAGTATTTAGACAGTAATGACTATTTGTTTGTTTTTGAGGATACAGATGAATCACTACTTGGGTTTTTGTTTTATCGATCGTGGTTTTTTTCTTTTTGTTACGTCCAACTCCAAAGTGTAAGTTCTAGTAGTCTAATAGAAGTTCAATTGTTCAAGCGACAAAGGCATGACCGCATGGGGTTTTTTGTTTCTTAGTCGATTCTTTTGCTCATCCCTAAGTTTAATGTGAATCTATTGATGTTGGTTAAACATTTGCTTTAATGATAAAAACATATATTTTAAAAAACTCCCCCTTTCAGGATGGTCAATTGTCCAAGGGAAATAAAAACCAAGACATTTATACTATCTTTTTTTATATTTACTTTCCTGATAATATTTTTCAGAATTAGGTTGATGTTGAGCCCCTTTTCTTAGAATTTCACAAAAATAGTGTGAAGCTTTATAAGAGGTCGTTTTCATAAAAAAAAAAACAGTTGTTGTGATTTCTTATGAGTTAGTTATGGCCAAGACTTTTGGTTGTAGAAGAGGACAATTATGGATTCTGGATTCTGGTAATCTAATCTACTTTTCTAAATCATTATGACTAAGCAAACAGGTGAAACACATACCTTGGGAGAGGAGAATGTGGAAGAAAGGTAGCCTTGATCCTCCACAAAGATTTGCAGATTCTTCATCTTCATCAGGAAATCAATTTCTTCATCTTCAAACTCCAATCGGATAGAAAATACAATCATCAATTCCAGTTTGTTTGTTCTGTAACAATCATCAATTGTATTGTGGTCTAAGTCTAGTAAGTTACTTATAATTTTTTATTTTTATTTTCCAGCATTAGAGGGTAAAGGAAGAATAGTTTAATTCACTACAAGTGGCATTAGGAGCGTTTACCCCTCACAATGATTATTACACGCAAATTGCAAAAGGTTTATACTGAATTTATTAAACACAATCAGCTAACCAAACTTGCCCTTATTTATATTATCCCTTAATTCGTTATGTTTTCTATTTCATTCAGTAGGCTGCTATTTTGGTTACTGCTGTGCAAATGGTGACTCAATTAAGAAGCGAAAAGACTCGAATTTAGATCTCCAGGAGAAAATTACCTTTCTGACCCTTGTGCTTTACACTTCATATCAAAACTACCTTCATAGTTGGAAAAAGCATCAGATGTGTTATGCAGATAAAGATTGTAAGATATCATGATTCTTGATGGTGGTGGTACTTTTGTCTTCAGTTTTGACTTTTGAGTGTAATTGTTTTCCTTTTCAGCAAAAGAGAGGACCCAGATGAGGTATTTGTTTCTGATCATTAGAATATGTGTTTCTTTTTTGCATGAATCAAAGTTTTTTTTTTTTTTTTTTTTTTTTCAGGTTTTAATTAATATTTGGTGATGGGACATATCTAACCTTAAAGGAGGTTTTTGAGAGCTTGGATTTACCAGGTACCTTCACTATTCATTTCAACTGGTTTCTAGTGATGATAGTTGTTTTTTGTGTATCTGTAGAGCAATTGTATATTCTTGTGTGGATGCTTTTTAATGATCATAAGTATTCAAGGCAGGTATGGCCTGGACCTGAATGTTGATCTATTGGATGTACATGCAGACAAGAGCACATTCCATCATGTATGACACTTACGCTTGAAACTTTTACCTTTTGATAGAGTTATGCATGGCTTAATCCCCCTAAGCTTTTTGACTTAATGTACAAATGACAACTTAATAGAGAAATTCAGCTAATTCTGTGATAATTTCATAATATTTCTCTCATTCATTTTAGGGAATTCGTGCAAGATTAGTTTCCAAAGATTTTGCGCCCAAGGTACCCTTTTGTGTTCTTTAAGTATTAACACTCCTTGTGAAATATGACTTTAAAATTTTCAATAATTAATTTTCTTTTTTCTTGGATTTGACAGTGGGATATTCCAAATTTGGATATTCCTATTTCTAAGCCTGAACTAAACTTGCCCATAACCTTGAGAGAGCCTTTTCATGTGAACTTTCTAGGTTTATCATAGGAATGCCTGAATGACAGTTATGCCCTTCCTACCATAAAAAGCCATTTGCCAAAATGACACTGCTGATCATTTGCCAAGAAGTATTTATATGCCCAAGTTGTAAAAAGAATACCATTAGTTCTTGCAGAAATTAAGAACGCCGTCAAGGTGAGACTAAATTGTAAAAAAAAGACAAAAATAGCCCAAACAGTTAAACTTTTGACTCATTTCCATTTTATGTTTATTTTTTTGTCCAGAGTATACATAATAATGGTGGCTGTAAATTTTAGGTTCTCAAAACTGATTGGTTTCTTGTTGTGCTTAAATCTTAACAGCTATCATGGAAACCTTCAACAACAGTTTTGGATCGACACCTTCTAGCAGAAGATATCATGTACGTGTTCATATGCTGCTATTGTGGATTCGGGAACATCCTTGCTTACTGGTCCAGTTGTATGTTTCTCACATGAAGCTTTTGTTAGAACTATTAATCTTAGGGATTTCAAGTTTTTCATATTTCTTGTATCTACTTAGTTTGTAAATTTGTTACAACTTCTATTGATTTGTTTTATCTTTTCATGGAACGATTATTTGTATGACATTAAAGTTTATGCAATGGATTGTATTATTTGTATATGATGTTTTATTTTTTATTATGAGAGATTAAATGAAAATTTAATTTCAAAATTAGGAAATCTATAAATAATTTTTTTTTAAACATTTAAAATTACGATACGCAAAATAGTGTGTCATCTTCATTTATGACATGGCCTTTGTTGACAGAGGCTTTAATGATACGCAATGCGAGTCGTATATGCGCGTCGTAAGGTTACGACATGCAAATACGTGTCGTCTTCCTTTATGATAGGGCCTTCCTTGATACGCATTGTGTGTCGTAAATGAGCATCGTCTATAGACGACGCGCAAAAGCGTGTCGTCTCTCGTTATGACAGGGTCTTCCTTGACACGCATTTGCGCGTCATCTGATCGTTTTACGACACTCATTGCACGTCGTAAAAGGTTGTTTTTCTAGTAGTGTATATGTCTAAAAATCTAACCACTTAGTGTTTAACTTTCATGTTTTCACCGTTTTGAGTGTAACTTCCATATTTTCACTATTTTTCAAGCTTTTATAACCAAAAATGCTTTAACATTTTCTTTTACCTTATTTTTTATTTTTAACACACATTAAAAGAAGCCATTTTCACTTAGAATCTTATTTCATTTTCAACATGACACCAAAATATGTGAAACTACACAAAGATAACTTTGTTCCAACAACTTGAGACTTTGTACAAATCTCGATTTTAAGGAGTATTAGTATGAGGTCACAACATTTCAACACACATAGACATATAAAACATACAAATGCATGCAAATATTCAAGGATTTAAACAAGACTTGACTTGTATCCCCCCCCCTAAGGATGGAAAACTTAAAAAAGGTGGGGTATGAAGCTCACCTTGAGGATTTTTTTTTTCAAGATGTAGAGGGAGAAGAGAAGAAACTTTCGAGCCTAGCTTGTGTCTTGGAGAGATTCTCGAAAATGCGGTTGTTCTAATGAGTTAAACACACAAAAAAAAGTGTGTAAATGGAATGTTCTAAGCATAAACATGAAGCAAAAACTCTTGAGTTAAACATGGACTTGCCAAGTTTGTGATCCTTGAAGAAGACTTATTTGGAGAACACACACACCCACGAATTTTTAGAGAAAGGAGATGAGAGACATGTTGAATGTTTGAGAGGAAAATGAGTTGGAAGTGAAGTTTGAATGAGGGTGGAGAGAAGGATCGGCCGAGAGGTAGAAAGGAGAGGGGATAAGGAGCGTTGACTTCTTCCTTGTTGATAAGACTAGCCTTGTTGCATGGGGGATAAATCCTTGGGTACATGTTGTGTAAATATGAGGTGTCAACTCTATTACCCAAGCTTATTTCTCTCTTTTTTTTAATAAGCCAACCGGCCCAAGGGACTTTCAACCCAAGGTTGGCCCAAAAATATTTGTGGGTTTGATTTGGCTTGGTCCAATGAAGATTTTTGGCCCATTGAGGCTTAATAGGGGTTTTTGGTTCAAAGAGCCCAAAAAATTAGTTCTCGGCCCATTAGGGCCCAAAGAGGGGTTTTCGGCCCAACAAGACCAAAAAAAGAGGTTATCGGCCCAATAAGGAAGTCTTGGTCCAATAAGGGTTTTGGGTCGAAAATTCTTAGGCTAAGGCCCAAAATTGATTGGACTTGGTTTATTGGATCGAGTTTTAGGCTTATACAAGTTTGTTTTGGATCGAATCACAATATATGAAAGTATGAACTTGAATAGCATCGTAGTTTGAATTTCACTAAATAGGTTATTATAAGCTTAAATGGAGGAATTGTCTTGTATAAGGATCAAAATCTAACCCTAACTAGCTAGTTGTGACACCCCAAATGTACCTTTCCACCTTATTACTCTCCGGGGTGACCATCACGGGACACAGAAGAGCCAGGTCACTAAATCTGGCAGTGTAAGCAGCGATATCGGAGTCCTTTATCTTCAAACTCCAGAGCTCCTGGTCTAGTTTTTTCATCTCGCCCCTCGGACAGTATTCTACTAGCATTAGCTCCTTTAAGTCATCCCAACTCATGGAAATATCTATTAGGAGAGTCAATGACTTGACTTGGCTGTTCCACCAAGTGAGGGCTCTGTCTGTGAAAGTTCATGCTGCAAATTTCACTTTGCTAGATTCGGGGCATGCATAGATTTTGAATATTGATTTGGTCTTCTCAAACCAACATGTTAATACAATAACACCTTCGTTCCCATCAAAGGATTTGGGTTTAGTGTTCGTGAAGTCCTTATATGAGCACTCACTTGGGTGTCCATGACTATCCCCATGGTTGGAAGGGTTGGCACCACTACCCGCCCGCTAGTGCCACTTGCATTGATCTACGACATGGCGGTAGCCACGACGACTGTTACTAATGCTTTGAAGACAACAGGGTCATACTGAGGAGGTGACGGCGGTGGTGTATTTTTTGGAGGGTTGTTTTTCTTCCTGTTGGACTTCTTTGGAGGCATCTTTCTCTATAATGATTTAAGAGAAAATGATGATAAGTCCTCTATAATGGTCATGAGTCAGGTGATAATGAAGAAGATATATCTTATCTCGACTGCTACAGTGTTCTATTAAGCGATTTAAAGTGGAAGTCTACTAATATAAGTAAACAATCACCAACTTCCTTTATAGCAAGACTTGTAAAGAATTTTGTATAGCGTGATTCACATTGGGTCCCTCTATAATCACCTAGTGTATACAAATTATGCATAATTATCGAGGCCTAATTGTTCTCGTTCTAGTGTTGTAGGATCATAAAATACTCCTATAGTATTTTAATTTCATGTTTGGTTCTAAAGTTTCTCTTGTATGGATTGTTGGTAAGTTTTAGACTTGTTGCAACACCACGATCACTCCTAAACTATGACAACCGTCAAATTTCGATCAAGTCAAAGTCAACAACAATACGTTTAAGTACTGTATGTTTGTAATGAATTTGGTACGCTTACTAAAGTAACCTTCCTTCTAAAAAGTAGCTAAAATAATTTCTCTCTCATACAAATCAAACCAAAGACATTCATATGTGACCTTAGGAGCATTACTTGTAAGTTGTGATGACCTTGTCCATACATCGGGGTTAATTTAAAACCAAAATACTAAAGTCTTGAAACAGATAATTCCATCCTGACTCCGATTCCATGTCTAGTATTAGGGGTTGAGTGGGGTCACCCACTCGACGATTGCACGATGTCAATTTACATACGACAAATCATATACCGCTCGATCGTAAGGAGACCTGTCAGGAATCATGATATCAAGTATCATTATTGGCTATCGAAAACACACCCACTACCAGTGCTAGACACTGTGGTAGGAATCATCTACAATAATCATAACATCAAACAAAACGGAACACACAGAAAAGAAATACAGGACACTCTATCACTCTATTGATCTCTTCCTTTGAATACAACTTATCTCATGTTATCTAAAAAGATAGTATTGTCGTATTCCAATTTTGATTGATATTGCCCTCGTCTTCCTGATTAAACGACTACAAAAGGGCCTTTCGCCTAACCCCTGAATATCGAAACTATCGTCTCACATAAACATCCAGCATGGACCTTTGGGTCATCTCTCGCTGTGGAACTCCAAAACACGCACTAGAGGAGTGTCATAGTTCCCGAAGCCTTATCACATGTATATACGGGAGACCTTCGGGAATGTCATGCATGTATCAGACAAGATTCAAGCATAGAAGCTTGGGACAGATATGGTACGAGTCCTGCCATGAGCTTCGGGCTAAGGTTACCCAGAAGGACGAGTGAATGTCCTACCATTCAAAAAGGCCTAGTC